TAATTACTTATGCTGCTGGACCATGACTATCTATTGTATTTTTGCTGAGTATATATAATTATATGGTTTTTAGTTAATATACGTGACCTACTGATAATGCTAGATGAAAACTTTGATCTTCAAAGATTATATTCATATGGGCATCCCCATTTCTGTGCAGATATTAATGAACAGCTGTAAAGAGCTATGCTACCATTGTGGATAAAAATAATTTTACAGATGCAACTGGGTTGTCCTGCTCACTACACCTTCTTGTTTTCCCCAGTTTCACCTACCAAGGTCAAAACTTTTGAAGTTGGTTGTGTTCACCACAACATCTGTAGTCTCATTAGTGATGTCACCAAACACCACGTGTAGTTTAACTCCACTTCCCACTGTCATGATGATGTCATCTAGGTCACTGGTAAGGGACCTGAAGATTGCTGAGAGGAAGAAGACCACACATTAGCTATTGTTTGATATATTTAATCTGATGACTGAGGGTACTAATGAAGATGGTAAAATATGGGACTGGCTGAATGCTTTTTATCTGCTCACTATGCATTAATATCACATAATGAAGACAGTCTGAGTAGTGCAAGTTTACCTTGGCCTCCCTGGTTCATAATTAAGCTGAGCTGTTTGTAGACATCATGATAGCACTGCAGATAAAAACACAGAATAACATGATAGATAATTGATTCCTGCATGTTACAGATCACATACAGGACATATCAACTGACACTGACCTCCTCAGAATCAGGGTAACCAGGTTTAATGACAATGTGGATGTTTGTAATAGATCCAGAGGATGCAGATAATCCAAACTGGTGAATGACGTCAGTCAACACTTGAATAGCTTCTCTCAGCGGGTATTTTAAAATAACACCTGGCCCAATGATTGGAATGGCCACTGAACACAAATTCTGCTGTACACAAAGCTCCAGACACTTCTTCAGACCATTACCAAGAGCCTGCAAATCAAAATTTACATATTTTTAAACAATGCTTTCAAACTTAACTCTTGTATTGTACACTGCAACAGAGCACACACGGAAAACTGTGGGGATCCACAAAAAAGTTCAGTTTGGTTGCATAAATCTTCCTTTGCAGTTATCTGGTTTGTGCATTAATATTTTCGCATTAATTTAGTATTTTATTATCTTTAATTATCTTTTCTTTTGTGTTTTCCATCACCAGAAGTGTTAATGAAAGTCCTTAATTTTACCTGAACACTCTTTCCT